ACTATATGCATGCAGCCATTTTCACTGACAGGTGATTTGGGTAAACATGCAGACCTGTCATAAACCATAGTTTGAGCCCACTGCATACTGGATCCTTTCCCCTTTGCTTTTACTTGGGTGTAGAGGTCTACAGAAAATTTCCCCAGGTATGGATGAGCTGAATGTCTAAGGCCTCAAAATTTGCCAATACTATCTTTCAAGGCAACATAGTGTTGTTTTTCCCAACATGCAACTCTGAAGATAAAACCAGATTGAAATGAAATTCAGTTCTATCCAGAAAAGATTCAAATGCATTTTAAAGACCTATGTTTGTGTCTCACCCTTTGCCTTTATATATTTCAGGGCCAATTCTCATCTTTCATTTCAGCATCCCTGATAGAATATTGAGATAGGCTTTGGCTCTAGATATGAAGATTTGAGAAAAGAATTTATACAGTAGGAATAGGCTGAAATCCTTCTTTCGTTTCATTGTGCTATAATCAGAAGTAGGGTTGAATAATCCAGAGGGAAGGGCAAGTATCTCACACACACATATTGGCTCCCTAGGGACAGCACTAATTTCATATCTGTCCCAGGACTTCTGATGTGGTTGACTGTCATCTTCGAGAACCCATGTTCTACAGTAACACAGAGTGCCACATGCCAGCTTGCTTGCTGTTTATTTTGATTTTGGTTTATTTCCTTCCTCCTAAGTTTACAAGTAAATAGTGCATGGTTTGAGAATTCATTTGAAAAAGAGCAGAAAAAAGTAGGTGACTATACTCCCAAATCAAGCCTTCAAGACATTCTCCAGTAGCAAAATAACCTCCATCCAACACTTACCACAGTTCTCTAAGACCAAGGAGGGATGCTTCAAATATTTACTCTCAAAGAAGTAAAACTAAATTCAAAAGAGCCCTCAAAGCAGTTTGGAAAAGCAATGCCAACCCCCCCCCATTATTAGTGCTGTTGTTTTATTTCGGGTTAGGACTGCAAAATGCATTCTTCTCTCAAAACTCACAATATAAAGGCTGAAGCAAAAAAGTCTTATATTTTTGGTTGTGAGCCTAGCCTTTAACGGCTGAGCCATCTCTCCAGCCCGCAGAAAAGTCTTATAATCCTGAAATAATGACAGAATAAAAACCTATCTGGAATGCAACATAAGCTCATATGAAAAATAAATTCAATCTTATGTCATAAGAAACATTGATCTTGAGTTCCAATTTGGGTCAATGTGCATTTATAAGGTCAGTACCTTCTCTGCTAGGATTCCTCTGAATGCCTTGACTCATGAATCTGGAACATAAGATACAGGCTTAACTTTTTAAAGCAGTTATAACTGAGGCTGCTCATAAAGCCACTGAGCACTTTTATTTCAAGAGCAAAGATGCTGAGAAGAAAAACAAGCAGAACAGTTGACATCAGCAATGGATCTCTTTAAATTCTTTAAAGTTAATATGACTTGATGGAACTTTATTTAGCTACCTAAGTAAGTTAAAACCAACTCCCTGTCATGTTTAAACACCCATAGGACATGTTATCTTCAAATCCCTTCAGTGAGTATACTATTCAATACTTGTGATCTTGTTCATGAGCATTCACCACAGAAGCACTCAAAAGATGGCAACAAGAAGAAACCATTAACAGCTGCACTTGGTTTGAACTTCACCGGAGGCTCAGGCTTTCTTTTTTCCCACCTGTTAACAGTGCTCTCAGCTAAGTAAAAGAATTTCAAGGGTCCAGAACAATCCCTGATTGCACTGGCAGTACTACATAGGAAAGTTTGAAATAGGAAGAAACAATTCCAACTTACATCTAAGGGAAAGTGTTTGTACGTTTTTACAGAATCACCGCTTTCTTTCTGTAGTACAGAGCCTCCTTTGGCTCAAAAAACAAAAAAACCAGACAACAACAACAAAAGAAACCTTAATCTATACCATGACTAGAAAATGTATTCTGGAGAATCATATGGAACTGACTCTAGAGTCTTGGAGCAGTGTGTTCATGGTATTTGTTTTCAAGAATCTGAAGGAAAAGACCGCTCTGGGCCACAGAATAGACTAGAAGTCCCAAAGAAGCAGCAGAGTTTGGGACAACCCCATTGTTCAAAGGATAGAGACAGGGAGCTAAGAGTAAAATGCCACACTTTCTTTGTTTGCTTGCTGGTTAAGTTCAGTCTTATTTTTTTTCCCACGATCTCTCATCAAAAAAGGGGGGGGCTTTCACGTAGCAAGTAAGGTAAGTAACAAAATACAATTTTATTTCCTGTTATCAATTCGCCAGTGCAGTGAACACTCATAATCTTTCTAAGTAAACAAGCTTCTACTCAAAGAGCAATGACGATTTTACAAATAGTAGTCATTGCTAAAGATGAACACAAATGTATTCATCCCCTAAGCCTTGAAATGTTCTACTTAAAAAGCCAAGACCCTGGCCATTAAAGAATATGTGGGTTAGTCTCAACAAAAACAGGGAAGCATCCTTAACTGCCTCCAGATGCTACACAAGAAGCCAGGATGATCATTCTGAACAATGGGTGTGGGAAAGCAAAGGGAAAAACAAACCTACTAAAGTATAGAGATGGGTGATGTGCATAAGCCTATCATTTGGGAACTTTAATGCCATAATGAAAACAAGTGAACAATTTGAATGAGAGCCTACCACAGCAGTGCTGAAAATAGAAATGAAATATCTCCCACCTTGTTAATAAGTCAAAAATCTTACATGAAAAAATAAACTATTTATCCTTTGAGTCACCATACACCTTACCTATATAAACTCACCTTTTAAGGGAAGTACACACTCCTCTCCTTGAAACCCCCTTCTTAGTGCAGCTAAACCAGGCCATTGACTGCTAGATCTGCATACTTGCATTTTTATCTCTTTACTCAACCCTCTTTTAAAGATTTCAGACAGAGAGAGACTTGGACCCTAGTTACAAATGAAACAAACACTGCTTACAGGTCTATGCAAGCACCAAGACCCTTTATAGAGTTCACACCTTTTTTCCTTGAGGCACAGAGTTGTGTCAATAATCATGACTTATTAAACAGGCTGACATCCCTTCTACCGAATGTAGAACAAGATCATGGAGGGGCAGAAATAATTACCTTGGGCTCTTCTTTAAAGGCCGCCTCAGGATGGAAGGTAGGAAATCAATACCGAAAGGACAGGGAAATGCCCCCACCGTGTTCCCCACAGCCCCGGGGTGAGAAGTAGAGCCACGATCCATTATTCATACCAACTGCTTCAGAACAGATGAAAACTCTAAGGTCTTCAACATAGACAGGAACCTATTTCAGTCCAATGAATGTGCTCACAAGCACCACCAGTCCATTATCAGGCCACAACACTTCATTTGTTGAAGGAACCTGAATACCCTCCCTCCTCGGGAAAAAAAAATATGCTCTCAGAAATCACCGTTTCGAGAAAAGCAGGGGGAAGCTCCAAGGGGCTGGCTCCACTGCCTTTCTAGGTTGTGGCAAAGATCCTCCTTCTCTTTGCCTTTCTGGCTCCTTTCTGACCATCACAGGATAGATGCATTTTTCTAAAGCAGTGTAAAAGCAAAAGTCTCTGTCCCCGGCCTTTACTTACAAGTACACTACGGTTAAAAAAAAAGTCACAAATGTTAAGTAACACCCTAGGTAAGAGCAGGGGTCAGGGAAATAAAAATTAATTCAACTGAAAGCAACCATCACATTCCTACCAGCACAGTGCAGTGAGGAACACTTTTCTTTGCCCAGATGCTACACAGCTCAAAACAGGAATACTAAGGGCAGCCCATCCAGACCATTTCTTTTCTTCTTCTTTTTTCTTTCTTCCAGAATGGCTTTGCTTGGAACTTGAACTAACATACTGGGGGCTTGTCCTGAATAACCTTCACAGGTTGGACAAGTGCTTTCTGATCCCGATCCTCAGGCACAAACAGGGGGTTCTTGGAATTTATGTTCACTAAGCCGAGAGAGTGGGGTGGAGGTCAATTAGTTACCTGCAACGTTCATAAAAATAGAAAGCTTACAGTTCCAAAGAGAAAGCAACCATGTTTAGGGGTACCGGTACATTGGCTGCTACACCGACACCAATGGAGCCAGCCTGAAATGTTATACCCAAAGGGTGACATGTTACAAAGAGCTTGGACATCTCACTAAACCGGGTCCTAGTCTGCTCATCAATTACAGTGTGGGAGGAAGAGATCGGGTTTATACCCCTCACCCCTCTGGGAAAGGAACAAAAGCAAATGCTTGGCACAGATGTAAAAAGGAAGAAAAAAAACCTCCTCCTTCTCCAGGACTCTGGGGGCCGCAGCTCTGCAGCGTCCCTTTTGCATTTCCTGGCAGTTAACTCACTCCAGTGGCCTCAGACACAATTTCCACACCTGGCAATGGCCAGGGACAGGTTGAAGGGATGGGTCCATCTGGGAGCGCCTCATTTCCCTACTTCCCAATGGTTTCTAATTAACCCTTCCTAGGCGCTGCCCCAGCAGGGATCCTGGAAGAGTCAACAGCTACATCCGGAGGAGGACATCACTACCAAATACCTGCATTCGATCTTCACCCCCACACTGGTCATAACTTCCCTTTGTGAGCTATCATAGGCCAGTTTCGGCTGTGCTTAGAAAAGCTTCCCACAGGAGGACAGGAAGGGTTGGGTGCACTGGAGCAGTCTCATTCCTCTCCAGGCCACTACGGGGAACTCAACCTGGGCTCACTCTCAAACCTGCAGTGAAAAGCATTTACACTCGCCTTAACCCTTTGAAGGGAGTCGGGAGTCTATTCTCATCTGGGACCCACTGAAGTAGCAGCCCTGGCTCTGGAGATCTCCTCCAGTTGCCTGACGCCCCCACTCTGCACACAGACACAGCAGAGACCCACACCTTTGGCCCCCTTGAGGCCATTTTTAACCATAGCTTCACACTCTGCCCCACACCGGGTATCGGGGAAGTGGCAAGCAGGAGAAGAGAGAGCCAGAAGGCAGAAAGAAACTCGGCAATAAATCACAGCTGAGACAAGGACTCTACTTACGAAATTTGGGGCTGGTGCTAGTTTCTGGGGTGGTGGTAGTGGAAGAGATGGAAGAGGGTGAGGAAGAAGAGGCGGCCGCAGCATCCTGAAAGGGTGACAGGGTCCAGGAGGGAGTGGAATCGTGGAGGTAGGAGGAGGTAGCATACGCCGCAGTGGGCCAGGAAGGCATTGCCTGCGTACTAGGGGCTCCTGGCATCGGGGGTCTGGAGCCTGGCGTGGTGCTACTGAAGAAAGGGGCCGTGGTGGACAGGACCGTCGGGGGGGCAGCAGTGTTCCGTGCCGTGGTAGAGCGCGGGCTAGCCCGGATGGGCACCCGGTGCCCAGGGAAGCGAGTGGGGGCCCGAGTGATGGTGGTCAAGCGGGTGCTAATCCGGTTAGGCGTCCTGGAGGAGGCTGCGCCGCCGGCAGAGGGGGTGGCTGGGGACATGGTGGAAGTGGTGGTAGTGGTGGTTTCCATAGCCTTGGGGAAAGAGCTGGGCTTGGAGAGGAAGAAGGGGTCCTGGCCCATTCCCTTGGAGTCCACCAGGTCCGTGGGCACGTACTCCTTGACGGAGCCCACCACGATCCATTTAAGCAGCATGAGGCTGAGCCCAAGGCCGATGAAGCCGATGAACAGAGGCACCACGCACAACCACGTCTGCTGCCGGTTCCACACGATGCAGTCGCTACAGCGTAACTCCCGGGGGGGCTCGGCCGCCCCTTCTCCGCCGCCGTCCGGGCCCCCGCCCGCCGCCGCCGCCGCCGCAGCCGCCGCGGTGCCCTCCTCGGCCGAGGCGGCGGCTGCCGAAGCGGCACCAGGTGGCGAGGCAGCGGCCGCCCCTTCACTCATCCTAGGAGCCGGTCTTCACCGTCGCCCCCCCGAGGGCCGCGCCAGAGGCATGGGGCCGCGCGGGCCGGGCGCGGGCGCGGGCGCGGGCGCGGGCTCCGGCGGCGGCGGGCTCCGGCGCAGGCAGCGGCCGCGGCGGCCGCATGCAAATCGGCTCCCTGCCCCCACGCCCCTCCCCCCGAGAGGCGGGCGGCGGGCGGGGAGGAGAGGACGGGGGAGGGGACGCGGGCCGGGGAGGGGGCGGCGAGGAGCTCGAAAGAGGGGCGAGACCGGCCCCGGCGCCGCCGGCCGGTCAGGGAGCGGCGGGGCGCGTCTGCAGCCCGCCTTGCAGCCTCCTGCGCGCCGGGGTCCCCCGACTGCTGATGGTGCTGATGCTGCCGCTGATGCTGAGGCTGCCTTGGATGCTGATGCTGATGCTGATGCCGCCTTGGATGCTGCCCGCCGCCTGTGTGCACTCCAGCCTTGCCGGCATCCTCGGGGCGCCGCGCCCGGCCCGCTCCCTGGGGCGCCTACCCGCGCCGCCGCTGCCCCCACCTCAGAGCCTTACGTCGCCCTCAGGGGCCCTGGCGGGCAGCTTCTGATTGCCCGGCGCCGGCAAGCGGCATTCCGACACAGGGGGTCAGTTTGGCAGCCGCTCTCCTACCCCGGAGCGCGGCGATGCTCAGTGGTTGCTCGGCGAGCCCGGGATGAGGTGCACCTGTTCTTCAGCCGGCCGGCAGCCAACCCTCGGTCAGCGCTCTCCGGGAGAAACCAATCCTAGCGCAGCGCAGAGGGCGAGCGGCCGGGCTCGCCTCGTTCCCGCCGCCCGCGGCTCTGCGCAGCCACTGCCGCCACCACCCCTGAGTCAAACTCCAGCAAGCGAAGACGCCGTCGCCTCGGACCGGGGAACTCTGGGGCGCACCCCGACCAGCACAGAAAGGATTCCAAACAGTCCCGGCGCGGCTACCGGGAAAGCAGAAACGGGAGACAGCTTTAGGGGGTCCTGGGCGAAAGTGATCCCCAGCGGAAGGGTGCTCCAGGCGTTTTCTCGCACACAGCCAGGCGAGTGCGGGTGTGTGTGTGTGGAATCGCCGCGGACGGGGTGGGATTCGGACAGAGTAGCGCCTCCCACCAACACCTAATGGTGCCTTCTTACAGCGCGCTAGATAAATATATGATCCAAGCGGACCCCCGTTGGAGATATACAGCACCCGCAGCTCCCGATCAGTCGTATGCGGGTCTCTGAATATCCTGTGGGGTCAGAGACTGAAGCTGCTGGGAGAAGGCGCAGGGGCGTGTTAGGTGGGAGGGCGCTTCTGAGCTCCACTGCCCCGCCGCGGTGAGGCTGAACTGAGAGCTACCTTCCTTCGGAGTTGCTGACAGATGCTGCTGAAGCAGACGACCTTTCTGCAATCAGATCTCCAAGCCATTAACTTCCCTTTTCAAAAGTATTGTCTTTGGTAAATGTAGGTACGACCTCGTACACACGTCATGGTGCAAGAGGCAAAAAAAAAAAAAAGAAAAATTAATGAGAAAAGATCCTTCCTAGTCTCTCAAATAACTTGGCCGATTCTTCCCTTGGGTACAAGGATACATGAGCATGAGTATTTCCAGTCCAGGTGCACTGTGGTACCTCCCTGAGAACCCGGTGGCACATAGAGAAAGGAAGGGGGCGGAGCAAGAGCCGGTGCTGATCTGTTACAAGGTACTGGTGCAAAACTGTGCTTCCCGACGCTATCCGGATTCCTAGGCTAAAGCGGAAAGGAAAGAGGAGACTTAGGTTTTTTAAATTTTTATTTATGTATTAATTTACTTCTACAAGCGCCGAGCAAGAATGGGAGGCTGATAACAGCAACTTCCTCGTAGTGATGCGTTCTGCATTCTCCTGTCCTGTGATGCACTCCGCCAAGATGAAGTTTCCTACTAGGTATCCATTTTATTCACAGGTGAAGAGGAAAAGCGAATGCTACTCTGAGGAGATGGCAGAGTGCAGAGAATGCGTTCAAACAGGAAGCCCTTGGGGAACAGTGCCTACCAGAGTTCTTTGCTCAGGCGTGATTAATAAATTATTTTTGATGGCAGTAATGTGGCTGTCACCTCTTTTAGCTCTAACACTGAGATTTCCCCCATAGGAAAACCTTTGGTTTTTAATTTGACACAACATGCCCTAACCTAGTAGTGCTGAATTATGGCGTTGAGAACTGCAAGTGGGGGGGCAAAAAAGTGGAATCCAAAATCTAGGCTTTCTAATGCAAGGCATAAGTAAAAATTAACCCAGCGTTAACCTTCTGTAGGCTGCCAGGCATCTGCTCCCTGCTTTTCTCATGCAGTAAATAAAAGCCTTTCCACATTATAGTAGGTGCTGCTGTTGGCGACTTGAGAAAGATTTCTTTTCTGCACTTAGTTCATCACCATCCCTCCCAATTCCCGCCCCCGGTATTCTGTGTTCTTTGCTGACTTCCTCCTCCCCTGGAATACATCCAAATCACAGAGAGGTGCTGTAATGCTCCTCCGGGTAAATGCTCTCTTCCTGAAACCACAATTGGACAGTATCCACATTCCCTTCATTGCTTCCCAAAGCTGTTTTGTCTTCTCTTTCCAAATTTCCTCTCTTCTCCTTGCCTCTTTGCTTAAGAGCTTATTCAAGCTTCACTATTGAGGTCATATTTTCCTGGAGCATGAGCCACTGTACTGAGCATCAGCTGCTCTCACAGGAAGTATCTCCAGTGGGAGCAGGACAGGGGAGCCCAATGCCAAGGTAGTGATAGTTTTCCTTTAGGACACAGGTTGTAACAGACCATCTAGGGATGTTTAGCAGTTGTAACTATCCTCAGGGTGGAGTTGTGCTGTAAGGCTTTCTAGTAGTAGGTGGTGATCATTTGGACTGAAATTGGAGAACTTTGTCCACAGTCGTCAAGAACAAGTGATGGGCCCTCTTGCTGCTAAAGACCAAATTGGAGTCCATTAACTGGCATGACTTAGAAGCATCAAGGAGACAAGCCTCTGAGAATATGTGTGAGAGATTTTCCAGGCCAGGTCAATTGAGTAGGGGAAGTCTCACTCAAACTGTAATCCATGGACTAATGTCCAGTTCTGAGTGAAAGGAGAGAGAGAACTGAGCACCAGGACACATCACACCATATTTCCTGTGGCTGCAGTGCATGCAGCTGCCCATAAGCTGCCACCACACCTGCTGTACTGTATAAACTGTATCCTCAAGCTGTGGACAAGAGCAAAGTCTAGCTATTCCATCAAAAAGTGAAATCAGTAGCTAAGACACCTACCTGACTCTGATGACTCATAGCTTACTGAAGCCAAACACTGGAGTAGGCTCACATGTAGACACAGTTTCAAGTTAGCTCTCTGCTTCTGGTCATGGAAAGAAATAACTCATTTGGACCAGATCCTCAACAAGGAAATGGAACTGCTGCTTAATTTTATGAAAGTGTGTAACTAAGAATAACTAAGTAGACTAATTTCCTGTGGTACCTTTGAAGCATGGTCATCAGCTACTTTTTTTGAGCCAGAGGAAACTTAGTTCTTTCAAAGACCCTGATTCTCTAAGCTCAGAAGCATGAAGCCATTTGTTTTTTATCATTATAATGTGATTTCTTTAAAAATCTTGATCAAGAACCATAAGGCTTGGAGTAGCCATTGGCCAAACATATATAATCTATCATCCCATAAACTAGTCCAGTCTGATAAGTCACATTATACTCATCAGAGCTCTGAAGAAGTTATCCCGAAAAGGGGAAGCCAGTCCGACCCTCGAATGGGGCACTTTAAGAGAACTGATTTTGAGAAAAGTTCTGTCTTTATTACTTTTCATTTTTTCTCAGCTCATTAATCATGAACCAAATTTGAGGCTTGGAAGATACAATAGAGAGTGGAACCTGCCTTTCATGGAGTTTATATTGTAGGCAGAGTGGTTGACAGAAAACAACAAAATAAGCTAGAATAAAAGAAGTGCAATGTCTAGGTACCAACAGCACTTTATTCTTGGCATTTTCAGTTGCATTTGCTGTATGCTTAGCCAGCATGTGGTGGTACAAACTGGCCCCCAAAAGCAGTGGCCTTATTAGAAGTTGTGACCTTGTTGGAAGAATTATGTCACGGGGTAGAGGGTGAACTTTGAGGTCTCTTTTGTGCAGGCTTCCTTAAGTGCCACAGTCAGTTGACTTCCTGTTGCTTGCAAAATATAGGACTCTCAGCTACTCCAGCAACACATCTGAGTGCACACCACCATGCTTCTAAGCGTGACGATAACAGACTAAACCTCTGAAACTGTAAGGGAGCCACCCCATGAAAATGTTTTCTTTATAAGAGTTGCTGTGGTCATAGTGTCTCTTCACTACAAAAAAAAACCCTTAAGACACAGTGTTTGGTTAGTTTTTGCCTTTCTGCAGATGGTATTCTTCCCCAAATGGGTTGATAATTCATTTTGTTAGATCACTACCTTACCTTGACAATGTACCATCTTGAAATTCCCATATCTAATATTGGAAGACTGGCTGATGGAGGTTTACCCTGACAGCTGCCTCAGAAAGCTCTATCAGGCAAACACTGGAAGATCAGAGGAAACACAGTAGAAAGTTCAGGTGTTCTTCCTCCTCCAGACCCCAGACAGCATCCCACTGGGCCATTCCTCCATAATCTCACACTCCTAGTTCAGACTGCAGTGAACAGAAGCCACAACGATAGAGGAGCTTATGATGCTGCATTTTTGATGTGTTTTCCTAGGAAAAACATCTTAGTCTCAAGCCTCATTACTCCTAAGAAAGGCAAAATAATACTGCTGCTTTCATAAAGAATGATGTGATTTAATGTTTGTATAAAAAAACTCTTTGGCTGCACCTCACCTGTGTTTTCTAGAAATGTGTGTGCTCTGCTCTTTTAGATTTAGAGGGAAACCTTCATAACACTCCATGTATTTCTCCACGGGAGAAAGCAAACAGCTAATTTTCCATAATTCTCCCTTAGCTTACATTATTCCTACCACCAGGCAGATATTTGTCTAAGCCATTTGGAGAAACTGGCAGAAACAGCTTTGGTATCAAACCCTGAAATCTTGTCCACGATAGGTGATGCCCCTAGCATGACCCTTACGTTTTTGACTTGTTAGTAGAATATTAAGATCTGCATGTGGGTTGTATTTTACTCCCATCTACCCACACTCTGTGGGGATGGTCTATAGTTCTAAAGCTTTTCAGGTATTCTGTGATCTGCACCTTCTTTTGTGTATGTACTATGTCTAAACTTTTATAATTAATGTGGCTCAATCATTAAAAAGAAAAAAATATCTTGAAGTAGGCCATTAAATGGTTGAAAACTGTCATGTGTCCTGTCCCTGATGCTGTAGTTGAAACATGGAGGTAGGAGAAAGGATTGCTTAATGAAAATCCTCGTTGCCTCTGTACACCAATGGTCCCCCAGAACGCTGATATTAAGAGATGGTACTGGCCTTAAAAGATTGTACTAAATGAAAGGTCTTTAGGTCATTTGGAAAAACTCACTAAAGGGATTTCAGAATCCTAGTCTCTTAGTTATTTCATGTTCCTGGTTAGAGAGATGACCACTAACTTTAACAAATACTGCTGCCTCTGCCATCCAGGGACCTTCCTAGAGGTCTCAACTCAGAAAACTGTTAGATTTTGCTCTTATGCCTCCAAAATTGTGGAATAAATAAACCATTTGAGGTTATTAGTTGTGTCGTGATCTATATTTCATTGCAATGATGAGAAACAGACAGATAACAGTATTGCCTAAAGAGTCTTCCAATCGCATTGTATTTTGAAGGAGAGGTTTACAGAAAAGTAGAACAGCAGCACCACCCTTTAAGATGTATCTCTCTCTCTCTCTCTCTCTCTCTCTCTCTCTCTGTGTGTGTGTGTGTGTGTGTGTGTGTATGTGTGTGTGTACTATTCCAATGTGTAGACCAAAAGTGTAAGAGGAAAGTGGAGAAGATACAGTCATGTTGGAAAGGAAATTACCAACTGCATCAAGCTTTATATTAAGAATTGTCTGAGAAAGTTAGTAATGGCGATAATTTTGTGGAGCATCAGTGATGCCAAAGACAGAAGAAGTAGTCAGTGAAATTGATTTTACTCTAGTGATTGCTGTAAGTAGATGCCTCAAATCTATCTACCAAAATGTTTCAATATGGTGGTTAAAACTGGACTTCAGTAGGAGGAAATTAGGGTGATTTAATATGTGATCTTTGACTGTCAGTCATTTAGAAGAACAGGAATTTTTCAGCTTTGCAACCAGCTGATTTCATGGGGATAGGACATCTCTAATCTCAGATAACCTTTCATGACTCAAGAATTTGCAATCATTGGGGAGGGTAGAGCTCTCTGGTCTTATCACAGGTGAACAAGGGGGCATTGGTGAGTCTGTTTTCATATCTAGAAATGAGAATTGAACCTAGAGCTTTATACAAACTAGACAGCTATCCACCACTGACACGTGTTTCAAGCTTGTTTTGTTTTTAGACAGTCACTCTATGTTTCCTGGCCTGGCCTAGAGAATACTATGGAGTCATGGCTGACCTCGAACTCATGAACCTTCTGTTTTAGTCTCCCAAGTATGGAGATTACATCCGAGAACCTTTATGAGAACCAATAGAAGGAGTGGCCAAAGAGTCTTTCTACAGTCCTATATGGCAGGGTAGGTCTGGTGTTAAGCTGCTTTAGGGGGTATGAAATGATGGAGAGATTTTTGTAAAAATGTTAATTGAGTATTGTTTTGTAGAATCTAAGATGATGTTCAGCATTGGCTTATAAGCTTACAGTTATCTTTTTAACATTACAAGAATGTTTGTGGACTACTAATTATTAATAAAAATAAAAACAGTGAAATGTCCTGTATATTTCTTTTCATTTCCTCAGTTGGGATTTTGAAGCAAAATGATTGCTCAAATTTGTAATACCTATGGAAATACTGAAAGCCATAACTAGACAAAACACCAACTAGACAAAAAGAAACCTGCATCTAAATTAAGCAAAATATTCACCCTATTCTAGTTGCCTTAGCATTTAGGAGATATTTTGTAATTTTTTTCTATTATACACTTTGTTTATAGTTTACCTCCTCAAAGTCTATTTATCTATAATGTGTTTAAGAATATAAAAATGAATATGACTTCTCTTTTGAATTAATCCTTTTTGGAACTTTGTAAAGATATTTATTAGATAATTTTATTTGTTCATTCTGTGCTTGCTCTCTCTGTCTCTCTCTCACTCTGTCTCTCTCTCTCTGTCTCTCTCTGTCTCTCTCTCTCTCTCTCCCTCCTTCCATCTTTGTGTGTCTGTGTGTCTATATGTCTGTTTGTGTGTGTGTATGTGTGTGCACTTATGGATGCTGAAATACATAAACTAGTAAACTAGTTCTTGAAAGACTTTTTTGCATTACTTACAGAACAAGGTAAAACAGGGATGAAATTATATGTTTGAGAATGCAGGAAACTACACTGAACAATGATATTTTTTATTTGAAGCACAAGTAATAAAGGATAGAAACAGACAACTCTCAGGCCTGATATACCTAAAGAAACAGATAGCCCACACTTCTTTGTCTTGTGCTCTTTAGGAGAAGAGCCATCGGATTTGTGAAATAGATGGAAGCATGCCCCATGCTAAGAAGGGTTGCTGAGAAGAGGAGCAACATCAGAGACCTGAATAAGAACATCTGTCAACTCTCACCTCCTATTAAACACTGGGTATCAAAATACTTTTTAGTCTCCACTACACTGTGTAAGACTGAAAAGCAAAATGGCATTTTACAGTTTTAGTTTGAAATATAAAGAAAATATTACACCAAAATCTAATAGGCATCATTTTAGGAGTGCCAACCTAATCTCTTGGGAAATATCCAATTAGTTCAATGTTTTCCCCTGACAGGCAGAGGAGATGAGGGTGCTGACTTGCCTTAAGGCTGATTTACAAACAAATGCAATTTATATACAGCCCCCCATCCACACACACAACTCTGCCTTTTGTCTTTTGTCTTTCTAAGAGTCCCAAAGAAGCAAACTATCAGCATCTACAATGGTCTTTAAGGCACACGTCTGAATTATCTGGGCAATGTTCCCAGCTAAGAGTCTTTCCGTAAAGCATAGTTGGTATGAGTCTTATTTATTTGTCTGTTGACTTTGACAGTGCTAAGAATGGAACTGTAAGTGTTAACACTTGCCAGATAAGTATATTACCAATGAGATGCATTTCTATCCTTTCATAGATAGCCCAAGCTGGTTTCAACCTCATAATCCTGCTTCTATCTCTTAACATTTAAGGTGTGTATATGACACCTGGTATGGTTTCCAGATTTTTAAACCCAAATACATTTCCCTTTAAGTTGTTGGGATAATAAGCAAGAAGATTAAATGCTCATCTAACTCCCTAAAAGGAGAAATTCAGACTATGATTGAAGAATGTAAGAAAAAAAGCCCATGTCTAATAGAGGATTATACAGGAGAAACCTTGAAGTCTACATATTAGGAAGGTTCTTCAAAAAATTACACAATGCTAGAAGTTGTATCCACCTGCAGGAATGATAAAAGCTATAAAAGGGTAACATATTCTCCCTCGTAGTCACAAAAGAAGCTAGTAGCCGGTCTTTCCTGAAAGTCATACTCCAGTGACCCTTTGAAGTGACAAGCATGCTCATCAGATCATTCCACTGGCCAGTGAGCGAGACATATATCCTTCATCTTTAAATCTGGCAGACAAACACATCAGTCAGATTTTCAAATTCCTTCTCTCTCCACACAGAAAGATAGAAATTTCTTGTTTCTTTTAAAAATGTTATATTTTGCTGCATTTATTTATTTGTCTCTTGTTGGAGATGTATCACCGGGGGATCATTCTGTCTACGGCATGATGCCAGAGAACCAACCTTGGAGAATGATGTCTTCTTATGGTCCCTTTTTGATGCTTTCACAGGAGGATTAAACAGCTTGCTTACAACAAGCCCAGGCTCAACATGACTTCTGCAAACATGGGAGCCCAGTCCTTAATGGAATTTGAAAACATGCTTCTACAAGAAAATGAATAGATTTCTAGCTAGTAAGTTCTGATTATTTGTTATTATTTAGGATGTACACAGCAGAGAGTGCATTAAATATGCAAAAATCCTAGACTTGAATCTTTCTTTGTCTTGTAATAAGTAGGACTCTATAGCACTGAATTGTGGAATCCATAAACTGTACCAACTATATCCATGTTTAATATCACCATCATAATCCATGAGTTTAATGTTTAAAAAACTTAGTGTGCATATATTTTTTAAATTTTAAAACACTGTATGTATTTGAAAAATAAGAAACAACTACTAATTAGTATTATTAGTGAAATTTTCTATTTCCAATGATAATTTTCAATAAAATGATATGGAAAGTACATAAATATCAACATTTTAAAATATTAAGATTCATACACAAACATACACATATTTTAACAATGTGTCAGACAATTTTCTACCCACCCACACACATATATATGTATATATATGTTCTGTTCATGCATATATGTCTCAGATATTTTTCTTTTATTCTGGGTATCCCTGTCCCTTGGTAAACAAATGTCACCAGTGCACATAGACCCAAGGCTCAGGTTGGAACATGACTTCACAATAAGCCCTTAAGCAAGTAGTCTTTCTTTCTGTCTGTTCTCTGTAGGACTGAGGTAGAAGCAAAAGACTTAATTTGACACCTTATCTAAGGTGTCTTGTATTTTAAAATAATATATATTAACTATATAAAATATTCATAATGACATTTTCATGCATGTGAATACGATGCATTTTGTTCACATTGACCTTCCCATTACCCTCATTTGCACTGACATCCCCCCTCCCCTGACCCTTTTGCTTCCCATATAGTCTCTCTTTTGTAAATAACAAGTGTTGTGTGTATTTCTGAGTCTGGCTTATTTTACGCCATATGATGATCTCCATGTCCACCCATTTTCTGCAGGAAGCAAAATTGTATTCTTTCTTAGGGCTGAATAATACATCACTATGTGTACCTACCACACTGTCTTTAATCATTCATCTGTTGATGGGCACAACTGAATGCATACTTTGGCTACTGTGAACAGGAAACCTGAGGGTTCAAGTATTACTGTTGAATGCTCACCTGCTAGAGTTCTCCAGGTATAGGCCCAGGAGTGGTATATCTGTACCACAAAGTACTTGCATTCTTAATTTTCTTTAAATTTTATTAATTTATTTTATAGCTATTTTTGCCTGCATGGATTTCTGTGTACTCTGTGCACTCTTGGTGCCCACAGGAGCCAGCAGAGGGCATCAGATTTCTTTGGACTACTAACACAGATGGTTGTGAATCATCATGTGGGTATTGGAAATCCAGCCTGAGTTCTCTGAAAGAGTTGCCAGTGCTATTAACTGCTGAGCTAATTCTGCTATCCATGTTGAGTATTTTTGAGGATGTTCTGGTATAATATGCTTAGTACTTTGGTAATTTCTTTCTGATTCAGGAGTATGGAGAGGCTTTCGTCTTCTAGGACCTTCCATAATACATTTATTATTATTACTATTATTATTATTATTATTATTATATGTCGCACCTGCTGTGCGGCCTGCATCCGAGAATGTAGCGAGGTGGTCGGGATAGATGACACAGAGACCGGTCGGTTGCTTTAAGAAAACTTTATGCTTCCCAAGTCAGCTTAGGAGGAGATTCCAAGTCCGCTTAGGAGAGAGAAGTCTCAGGAGAAGTCTCCCCAAGAAAAAAGAGCTTCCCTTTTTAAGGACTTTTGCCATCCATTTACATACCATTCTTTCCAGACTTCTCACCCTCCTGGCTGGTGGTTTAATCTCCGGCCCCAGAATCGGGGAGACACCACAGGGGGGGGCAGGAAGAGGCATCTAGCCGTAGGGGGTGTGAAAGTCATGGTATCTCAGTGAGCGAGCCCTTCTCTGAGCCCTATCAAGAGCTTTAAAGCACTGAATTGTTTTCAGTAAACATTACACAGATGCCTGCTCCCAGGCCGAAGGGGAAGTGGGTTTCTGCTCAAGGTCTGGTGTCCCCACAATTATATGTGCTAAATTTTTCAGTATAGAAGTCTTTTTTGCATTATAGAAGTCTTTTGCCTCCTCGGTTAGATTTAATTCAAAGATAATTCTCCTTAGAGTATTGTGACTGTATATGCTCAGTGCATACCATAGAAAAAATGTTTTTTGAAAATAAATTCTTCTCTCATATAATACATCCCAGTCATTGTTTCTCTTCCCCACCTCTCTTTCCCAGCCAGCTCCCACCACTTTCTCTCTCCCCCAGATCCACTCCCTCTCCATTTCCCTTCAGAAAAGAGTAGGCTTCCAAGAGAAAACTACCAAACCTAACAAAGCAAGTTAAAACAATGCAAGGCGAAAGCTCTCATATAGAGGCTGGACAAGGCAAACCAATAGGAAGAGAAGAGTACCAAGAGTGTGCAAACAAGTGTTTTTGTAGGTCCTTAAATCATTTTTTCATTTTATTTATTTTCTGTTTTAAAATGCATCCTAACCTCAGCCTCGCCTCCTTTCTCTTCTCCCAGCGCCCCCTTCCTTATCTCGGATCCACTTTTTCTCCATTTCTCTTCAGAAAGGAGTAGGCTTTGCAGTGATGTCAACCAGTAGGTTCTGAATCTTAATTATAGTACTATATTATGTACAAAGTGGTATACTTTGACTTCTGTTTCTGTTTGTATCTCTTTTATTTTGTCTCATGTCCTATTGTTCTATAAAAGACTTTGAGTGACATACTGATTGACACCACTGAGAGGGGAACTCCTTTTTCCTTCTTAATTTTAGAGAAGATGCTTATAGAAATTTTCTGTAGGTAAAGTGTTGACAACATATCTCAGTATGTTGAAGCAGAATTCCTTTTGCTCCTAGTTTCCGGAGCCTTACTATCCTTAGGGTGTGTTAAATTTTGTCAAAGGCTTTTTACTGTTTTTTTTTTTTTTGGAATGCTCAAGTGCTCTCTTTTCTTGCTGCACTGACGTACCTGCATTGTCCCCTTTCATCATTTGAATGACACAAGTTTCATCATGGTACATAATACCATAATGTATTTGTGAACCTGTTTTGCTTGCAGTATTTTTCAGTCTATGTTGATCAAGGATATCAGTTTACAGCTTTCTTTTCATGTTGCATCCTCCTCTGAGTTTGGCCTCAGGATAGTACTGGCTAAACAAAGTGAGTTTGGCAGTGTTCCCTCCTCCCTCTTTTTTTATTTCTGATGTTCTTTTTCTTTTTTCTAGGAATATAGTCTGGCATCACACACTTTTTTTGAAGCAGTGCTTTCTTACTTTCCACTATCATTCAAGCTATAAGGGTCAGAAATTTGTTGATTGTATCTTTTGCAGTCATGTTTTAGTTCTTTTTGTGTTTTCTGATGGCAGCCTTGTCAAGTGAGCTGAGACAGTGATATCCAAAGGGTCAAATAGATTTTATGACCATTTGGAAGACTTTCATTGCCTCATGAATCCTCAGCGACTTTATCATTGTTTAATAATAGATTAGGAAATTATACACAAAACAGATCACAAGGTAAGAGGAAATTATACACAAAACAGGCCACAAGGTAGGAATATAGGTACTAAGTAACATACAATAATTTCCCCTGAATTAGCAAAGCATCTATTTTTTAGTGAATACTTGATGCAAAGTCAACAAGACTGTAAAATAACATTCTCTGAGAATACTCTCTTTCATAACAGCAATGGAGGAAAATCAAAACTTTGCCAGAATGAACTCTTTTAGAACATTGGCAATTAACCAAAGCATCATTTTGGAGAGGCTTTATTCAATAAAAAATGGCTGAATCTTGGTAAGAACATTGAGTTTGTTCTATTTCCATCCTTCTCTTTCCAGCTGTATAGTAGCCTGAAATGCAAACCCATCAACTACCAGAGATACCAACAGGCACACTAGACAGAGAAAAAAGTCTCTGGAAATTTTCTAAAAACCCATTCTGAAAGATCTCCCCCATTTTTATATCCATCTACTGAATCCATGAAACAGTCATCTGAAAGACAGGTTTTACTTGATCAAATTCAGAGGTCATCGGTCATATGTTGGTTTGCAGCCATCAATAACTCCAGTTTCAGTGAATCTGACACCCTCTTCTGTTTTCGGTGGACGCCAGGCACACACAAAGTACAGACAAAACATGAAAAGCATTGACAAACCTTTCTGGGATTAAACAGCTAACTAGAAACAAAAAAATTCAGCTCAGATCCCATGAACAAGCACAGGCCACACCAGCTAGAAGACCAGAGAAGAAACAGAAACCAAGAACAAAATGCCAACCCAGCAAAAACAAACTCAGATATTTTCAACTAGAAACAAAATCACCCCAAACACAGATGCCTACACACCAGCTTGAGAACACAGTCAACGAGAGTCAAAGAAGGCAATATGGCACCAGCAGAGCCCAGCTTTTCTGTTACATTCAGCCCTGAGTATTTGAAACAGCTGAAAAAAAGAACTTACGACAAACTTTATGAAGATGATAGAGGTCTTCAAAGGGGAAATGTTAAATTCCTTTAAGAAATCGATCGAGAAAACACACACACTCTCTCTCTCTCTCTCTCTCTCTCTCTCTCTCTCTCTCTCTCGGAAATGAATAATCCCCTTAAAATAAATCCCTTAAAAATAATAGCCAAGGAAACAAATAATTGGAGGAAATAAAACTTTTTAAGATCTGAAAATGGAAATAGAAGCGATAAAGGAAACACAAGTTGAGGGAACACTGAAAATGAAAACTGTAGGTAAATGAACAGGAACTACAGAGACAAGCTTCACTAACAGAAAATGGAAGACAGAATCTCAGGTGTTAAAGATAGATGAATTAGATACATCAGTCAAAGAAAATGTTAAATCTAAAATATTCATCTCGACACCATGAGAACACCAAACCTAACAACAGCAAGAATAGAAGAATAATCAAAGCTCAAAGCGCCCCCCCAGAAGAAAACTTTTTCAGCAAAATCACAGAAAAAAAGTTCCCTAATCTAAAGAAGGACATGCTTATAAAAGTACAAGAAGCATACAGAACACTGAGTAGATTGGACCATAAAAAGATGTCTTCATTTCACATAATAATCAAAATACTAAGCATATAGAAAA